TACATCACACACACACACACACACACACACATATATATATATATATAAAACGCTAGTTGAACGGGCTTGTATACAGCAGTGCATCGCATACTTAAAGAAGAGCACGCATTTACAGAGCACATGTTTAAATAGGCAATTATCTATATATCCCATATGGTTCGTCGTCAGAACCACACCTGCCATGAACTTGTGCACGTGTGTTTGTATCCATTCGTTCCCCCTCTGCCGTTCCACAAACCTCAGGAAATACGTAGTGCACATCACACCCATGGAATGCCCAAACAGCACCACCGGAGTGTCACCGTTCGCTTCGTAGAATGCCTCTATCTTATCCGCTAGTTTGGTGAAGTAGGATGTTTTCTCCTCCAAGCGCGAGGGAGCCAGACGCCAGTCATAGGGTGCGGCAATGAGGTTCGCGTTTGTGTAACCCACAAAGCGCAGCTGTTCAATGAGCTCACTGAAGACATACGATGCAGCCCCTGTTGCAATGTGAGAGTAGTAGATAGAATCAGCCTTGTCCACAAAGTTAACATGACACCACAGGCGATGTAATTCGTATGTTCACGCAGACCAGACGGTTAAATCAAAGTGTTAGAGAAGAGATACCAAGTCACAATGCAATGGCTTAGTGATAAAGCCCCGCCCAGACATGTATAGCACAGTGGAGACAGATTGAAATCAATTGCAAGCGAAGAATGGACTATAACTAAACAGACCAGATACTATAAAGCGCAAGTGATACATACTTAAAAACTAAGAAATATATTCAGAAACAAAGTGACCACCTGTAGGTGCACCTAAACCAACTGCAAACGGCAAGCGAAAGATGGACTATACCGACAGATCAGCTACTATAAAGCGCAAGTGATACATACTAAGAAACATATTAAAAAAACAAAGTAACTACCTGTAAGAGCACCGGGGATGAGGAAATCGACGGCGTCTATGCCTTCCATGGGCCTGACTCGGATGCCTGGGGGGTCGTCTACTCCATGGTCTAAGCACATGTGGCGTAGCCATGCATTGCCCTGCTGTGCACTTGCCTCAGCCAACGTAACGCCATCTGTCTCGGGTGGTGAGCGATACATGTACATGTACAAGTACATGAACATGTGGTTATTGCACGAACGACGAACCGAGGGATCTATTTGGTCGCTGCATGTCTGGGCATATGTACGCTGATGTAGTAGCTGATATAACACCGACTACAATATCTAATGAAGTACTGAATTTAATCTTAATAAAGTACTGAATTTAATCTATGTAAAGCTTAGTGTAAGATCAGTTAAGGCGCGAATCGGTGGCAGAATGCCAATGTTTTTGTCAGTGTGCGCTCTCATATGAATCGTGCGTGATGGCGTACAGTAAAATAGAATCGTTGAAAACGTATTTTAAGTAAAGACAAAAACGAAAACGCCTAATGCGTGCGCGCAGAATGGAATGCGCAAACCTATACATTTCTCTCAACGACTTCACATGGATCGCACGCATTGAGCTACAGCTGTGAACTGCCCTGTGAAAAACGTTTGACATTGAGCATGGATTATTGCCAAGCGACACACTCGAACTTGTCAGTTGAGAGAGTGCCTCTATCGCTACATGCTTCAAATGAACGAGCCACCCGGGACGCTTCAGCAACACGTGAGGATCCTACGTTCACACTGGCGAAAGGACACGCGCACGTGCAGTTCCATGTGTGCGCATACCAGTATCTTGCTGTTTCAGACATGCAAGGTGATACATAACTTTCCTCGGCACTACATGGTAGCGTCACAAGCACTGCCTATATACATACTAGCATATTTGTTTGTAGGTAAGTTATATACGGGGCTGGTACGGAAAGACCAAGTGCTTTTTATGCCACACAGTGTATGAATGGCTTGTTAATAGTGCAATTCTCGCAAGCGATACACATACGTACCTCCAATCAACGACACATTGTTCTTCTTGAACAGACCCTGCCCGCCCAACTTATTGATATTGATCCACAAACGGTCACCCTGGCGCATACGTTGTGGTAGAGGTCGAGGTGAAGCAAGTCAGTACACTATACATCTCGCACAGTTAGAAAATGCCCACATTAGGTGCATAAGAAACAGTCCCGCATAGACCCACATGTCAAGGTCTCATACGTTCACACGGCCAGAGCAAAGCGTACCTCCCAACTGGGCTTCTCCTCTGATTTCTCGATAGTAAGGCCACTGGAACACAGCCCTGGTATCAGCACTACGGGATAGTGCGCTCTGAACCCTTCGGTGCGCATGGAATAGCCTACTGTACATGCAAGCGAGTGATGGAGTGAGCAGCACAGACCTTCCTGCCGTTTCGATACAGCAACATATATATTAAATGGGACGTAAATCTTTGGTACGTTCCGAACTTCGATGGTAGCAGCTGTGGAATGAAGCAATACCCTTGCCAACAATCACGATCACCACGCAAAATGAGGTTTAATTCGAATTCACAGATCGAATATTGATACACCGCTACCTAAAGTGCAGAAAAGGCACCTAGTAAGTCCACCCCCATAGCAACTACTGCTAAACGGCACGATACCGGCATGGTGTTGTAAGCATGTATACGCATCATAAGAGCACTGGCACTCAGATAACATGTCTCACCTATCGTATACTTTGCCCCCTGCATTGAGTTCAGCACCGTTGAGTGGCTGGCTGAAGTGCACGACGCCTGCGCTAAGTTTCGACAGTCGCGATGGACTGTGTACGAACATTCTGCCATACGAATGAAGAAACGGGTTAGTTGCAGCTACATACGGTTTATAAATTAAATGTATGTGAACATTCTGCCATACGAATGAAGAAACGGGTGGGCTGCTGCAGTTACATACTGTTTAAGAATTAAATGTATTTGGACATTCTGCCATACGAATGAAGACACGGGCGAGTTGCAGTTACATACGGTTTAAGAATTAAATGCTAATGAACATTCCGCCATACGAATGAAGGAACGGGCGAGTTGCAGTCATACTTTATGAGCAGTAGGTTCATCTCGTGTGTTCAGGATACGAAAGGAACGACACCGAGTGTACTAGATCACACCTAGCCACATACGAAAATAGAGCATATAAAAATCTCAATAGCAATGGGTCAACGCTTTTGTTGTATGTAGCTCATCCTTCTCACTTTGGTACAGCTTAGTCGATGATGATGCATACTATGTACCGTATGTCTTCATCGAGTTAAACCTGTTCTCCAACATACACCAACATCACAAGGACAAGGCACCCATGTCACCCGCTCAGGTAGCCAAATTCTCATTCACAGTAATTTTTGCTTCTGATCAAGCGCGTACCGTGATGTTGGCACCATACACACCTATACATTGTTCGCCTTGTACAGCAACACCCTTCAGCTGCAGGGACACAAAATAAATTGGATTGAGTTTTTCTTTTGCCTGAAAATGAAAGACGGTACAACTGCAATCAAACCTTTCACCGTAGTCATTCCTAACCGAAACAGAGGCGCAGATGATGGCACAGTTGGATAGAGATCATCGACATCTTACGGGTTTTTGATGATTTGAGGTTTTTATTTTCAATACGAAAAATCGACCCTATACTTACCAGATGATGACACAGCGCGCAATACGTAGGCCTCATAAAGGTCGCCAGTACAAAGGCGTGGTCTTTGCCAGTTATCGGAGGGTGTTTACCGCCTGCAGAATGGTAGGCAGTCATTAGCTGCCTTGCCCTACCACACGACAACGGCCAGTATGACTCATCACACGGCAAAGCATTCACTCCGCCATGCCAACTACGCATTAGCAATTACGTGTTACCATGTCTGAATGCTCTTCATATTGGGTTGCGCATGAGACCAAGACTCGACCTTCGTTTAAGGCCGGCAGCAAAATCAGCAATTCCAGTTGAGGTTTCTTCGATATTATCGGAAACTAAATATGTTACAGCATTACACTCTTATGAATGCGTCCAGAAGGATCACACTCTACTGTACGGCTGTTAAATACTTTATTAGATATATTAGTAACAAATCATATTACTGCACTACACTCCTATGAATGAAAAAGAAAGATCACACTCTACTGTACGGCCGTTAAATACTCCCTTAGGTATATCAGTAACTAATTATGATACTGCATTACACTCCTATGAATGAAAAAGAAAGATCACACTCTACTGTACAGCTGTGGACTCCTTCAGTACTTACCTTTGTCCCAGCAAGCGCCTACGCCCGCAGCACACTTCTCGTGGATGTATTGTGCACACACAGTGCACTGTAAGGTGGAAGCATATGTGATTGCATAGCAGTGGATGCAGGTCTTGCCAACGGCCCATCTCCGCCGCTTCCAAGTGTGGCTCATCAGCAGCGTAGGCCCAGTAATACTCACTGGTAGGAAACAGAAACCAAGTATAAGTAATATTAAGCCAAGCAAGCCAAGCCACTAAAGTACAGCTAACAGCAAGACAAGTAAGCCATGCCGTGGATGTAGTCAGTAAGTGCGCGGGTGGCGCTACACATGGTGTCAAACAGCTACGTGAGCTCTAGATTGACCCCAGCAGTGCAAATGTAGGAGATGGGCTCTATAAGGTAAGGCTACAATCAAGCTGAGTTGTGCATAGTCAAGGCATGGGGCATCAATTGTGCTTGATCAAAAATGACATTGATAACAAACCGTGTTTCATATTAAATTTGGCATTACGCATGTTCGCGAGCATGCGTGTAACCTGGCTTGGTCACACGTACACGCCGCACTTTAAACGGCCACAGTAATATGTGTGATTTAGAATAATGTGCGAACAGGAGTCACTCTGAAGTTATGTATTTGACATCAGTGTCCCTCTTGGTACTGATCAGATAGCGATGTTTGTTCTCGCCACTGCAAAACCACTAAGCTGAATTGTAGGTGTCTACCACTACTACGTGGCAGTTGATTTAACTACTAAGTCAGCCAGAGGAGCCGACTAAGGGCCCGCATATACCTCGAGTAGAAACACGCACATACCCTTCTTTAAGTAAACAAGCCCATACTCTACTTTCAGTAAACACGTACATACCCTTCTTTTAGTAAACTTGTACATACCCTTCTTTCATTAAACACGCACATACCCTACTTTAAGTCAACACGCACACACCCTTCTTAAGTAAACACGCACATACTTTTCTTTATGTAAACAAGCCCATACCCTTCTTTAAGTAGAGACGTACATACCCTTCTTTAAGTAAAGACTTACATACCCTTCTTTAAGTCAACACGCACACACCCTTCTTTAAGTAAACACGCACATACCCATCTTTAAGTAAACAAGCCCATACCCTTCTTTAAGTAAAGACGTACATACCCTTCTTTAAGTATACACGCCCATACCCTTCTTCAAGAAAACACGCACATACCCTTCTTTAAGTAAAGACGTACATACCCTTCTTTAAGTATACACGCCCATACCCTTCTTCAAGAAAACACGCACATACCCTTCTCTAAGTCAGAGAGACTCGGTTGAGCTGGGCGAGGAGGCAAAGGCGGAGCTCGGGGGGGTAAAGGCGGAGCTCGAAAGGGCAGCTCTGGTGCTCGAAATGGCAAAGGTGGCGCTTCATCTGATTGGGCGATGGAGTGCAGTAAAAGATAAATAAGGACCGCGTGGTTGGGTACTATAAGTAATGGCGCCAATCTGTTCACTTACAATTGCCAGTTGAGGAGAAAAATATAAAACCAGCGACGAGAAGCATGTGACACACTATGTACGATATGAGTTGGAATGGACATATGAATAGAGAAGTTAGAGACTATGTGCGCGAAATCATATCAGTCGGTGTCCCATCCAAGCACATGGGTGTGATAGGGGACACATATTGGACGAATCTACACAAAGCTTAAATTATACCGTCCATCCTAGATATACCTTCAAGCTAGAAGATACCTTCGAGAGCTGAATTACACCCATGCTAACGTATACCCTTATGGTAAAACTACTTCATGATGTTAACGTATACACTAATGCTGAAATACACCTTAATGTTAACGTACACTCATGCTGAAATACACCTTAACACCTTAATGTTAACGTATACATTTATACTGAAACACACCTCAATGTTAACGTACATTCACGCTAAAATACACCTTCATGTTATCGTACACTCATGCTGAAATACACCTTAATGTTAACGTACACTCATGCTGAAATACACCTTAATGTTAACGTATACACTTATGCTGAAATACACTTTAATGTCAACGTACACTCATACTGAAATACACCTTAATATTAACGTATACACTTATGCTGAAACACCTTAATGTTAACGTATACACTCATGCTGAAACACCTTAATGTTAACGTATACATTTATGCTGAAATACACCTTAATATTAGCGTACACTCATGCTCAAATACACCTTAATGTTAACGTACACTTATGCTTAAATATACCTCAATGTTAACGTATACTTATGCTTACCTTGTGTAGAGGATTGCGCGTTGTGTGTTGTGATGGATGGTGATAGAGGTGGCAGCGAGCTTGCTACTTCCGGCGCGTCTTCGTCCAGTTCCTGCTGGTCAGGGCGATCCTCCTGCATTGAAGTAAGAGCTAATGGCATCAGCAAAGACAACTACGCTACCACAAAGATCTGTAGTACAAACTTACGAGGGCTGCGAAGTGTCTCCCAGTGTACGGCTGTGTTCCCCTGGAGTATTCTCTTTTGCTGCTACACGAGCAAATTGCAATACGAATGCGGCCAGAACTTCCGGTAGTGCAGACATATGTGGGTTTAATTGCGATCAAACTTCTAGATGCCATATATATTAGAACTAGATATGATTCTGGGTGGGGGTCACTGATACAAAGAATTGATCGAAGGTGGACTATTACCTGTTATGCTGGAGGCATCTAGGCCTACACCCCTGTATACTGAATAAGAGGAACAGTTAAAACATCTCTAAAAGGCTAAGATAGGTAAAAAAATGTGGATGCGTCAGCCAGACTCACGCACATCACCATACTGAATGAGAACAAGTCAAATATACTACTACTTCCATTGGACCATGTAGCATATAGTTAGTGCGCACCTCTGAATGTTGGTCGTCGTCATCCTCTCCGTCTGATGAAAGTTCATCTGGAACCCACGAGATGGTGTTGCCCTCCCTGACAGCTTGGTTGGGCAGGAATGCACGAGCTGGTATCTGTCGGAACGAGTGAATGGGTTCAGCAATGAGAACGGCAAACTTAGTACAACAAAGCCCCTATCATCAGTACGGCAGTACGGGCTCATAAAGAGAAAATGAATTCACCAGTTCGGTACTATTAAGAAGAGAAGAAGCAAACCGAAGTGTGATGTCGAGATTTAACATACACAGCCATAATTCACCACAACAAAACGCCACTCACGACAGGCAGAGAGGCTCTAGGCATCATCGCATGCGCTCAGTTCTATTTAACCGGTGATAAAGACTTCGTGACACCGGACACGTATAGCCGATGTCTCGACGGACCGGCATATTGCAAACTATTAGTAGATACAGAACATACTTGTGACAACACATACAAATACACCCACACATTACCGGAAAGCCGATAACCCCACATACATCGAGACCGTAGCCACTTAAAATGCAACAATGACTCATACAGCACCAATCAATTACAGCTAACAATAGCGGATTCGACTGCGACCAGCATGTGGCAAAAAACAGTACAAATTACAAGGAGGGAACAACTGTGGTTATTCACATACATTTACTGTGAATGCTGTCGCCATACGGTTGGTCAGCACAATCTGCCTAACAGCATTCTTGAACTTGACATTTCGTGCAGGCGATCTTACATTCCCCTGTGAGAACGATTTTTTGAAAGAGTAAGTAAGAAAAGAATAATATTTTGATATATATATATATATATATATACATACATATACATACATACATACATACATACATACATACATACGTACGTACACACACACACACACACACACACATATATATATATATACATATATATATAGATATAATATA